ATATATATTAAAATTTCATGTAACGATTATCTTGGCGAAAATAATTGCGATACACAATATTATCACAATAATCATAACAATATACTTTATACCTTTAAAATGGCACTAAAACATACATTTTTGTTAAGAAACATATTTATTGTTGCATCATAGATCGGTACCTCATATCCTTGTACTACATTTTGGAATATATACTATTTCCACACATTTCAGTTTAACTTTATTTTTGTGGGCGATACAACGGGCAGCCCAAAGCTTTAGTCATGGTGACAGGCTGAAGATTTTGGAATAACAGGAAAGCTGTGGCCTCCCTCTTTTCCCATTGTTCAAAATAAATCAGGAAATCAATATAGGACTGTATGCTGGAGAACCAATTATCCCGATTTCTGATTATCCTGATATTGGAAATTTACCACAATACATTTATCATGGAGTTTTTATCATGATACATGATTATATTGTATATTGTCCCATCCCTATTTATTATTATTGGTTTATATATTGTGTGATTAATGTATGTGTGTGTGTGTGTGTGTGTGTGTGTGTATGTTTGCTCTGCAGAAGTTGGGTGAATTCAGTTCTGCTGATTCAGGGTTTGTGGCAGAGCAGACTCACAGGCCATGAACTGTGCAGGGGGGAAGCAATATGAACACCGACTGATTACTGAGTTACATAACATGTGGAAGGATGTAAAGTCGTGTGTGTGTGTGTCTTTGTGTGTCTCTGTGTGGAAATATCCTGGCTCACAATCGTCCCAGGGTCAATGTAGGGACTTTGGCTACCATGCTGCCATGGGTGTGTTATATAATTCTTGTTTGGTAAGTAACATAAAGGGACCACAACTAACATTTGGTTTCACAACCCTGTGTTGGAGAATGATAAATAAATGAACCTTGCACCTTGTTTGTTGGGACTTCAGTTATCACGCAGTGTGTGTGTGTGTGTGTGTGTGTGGGTGTGCGTGTGGGTGTGTGTGTCTACCCATAGGAGCTCAACCTGCTCTTGTGGAAGTAAGAGTGAAAGTGGCAGGTCATAAATAGAGTGGAGCAATGACAGTTGAGTTGTAGCTGTGGTGATGTTTAACAGCAGGAATGCTATATACAGGTTCAGGATGAGCTAAAGCAGGTCAACCTCCATCTTGGCAGCACTAATGTAGGCATAGATCTGGTCTATTGTACAGTTCTTATTGTAGACAAATCCCATGAAAACACCAAAATAAGCTATTTGTTCATCAGACCCAACGCCTAGTGATTCCTACTAAAGACCTACATCATTAAAAGTAGATCACAAATATATAAAATACATTAGTATTGGTTATATTGCTCCAGGGTTGGGTGGCGCTGTCAGTTGGTCAGGCCACGGGTCACTTTGGACCACACTGAATTATCTTTAATTAGTGGATGGATTGCCATGAAATTTGGCGTGACATTCATATTCTCTCAGGATGAGCTGTAACAATAGTAAAAACTGTGCTATATTACAAAGAGTTACTAGTTTATTATTATTTATCAAACATATGTTTACATTTTTATTTAACTTATTTTAGGAGTTATGCATGACTGATATTGTTTTAAAGCCTACTCCACAGTATCTGTAGGGGTACCCCCATTTTAGGAATACTGCTCTACCCAAAAAAAATGTCTCACACCTCTAGGTAAAATGTTTCTGTTTATAATGTCAGTAAATGTCCTCTGTCCTCTTGAGTTTATAACCTCAAACGACACAAGCAGGACAGAACAGTACTAACGACCTGAGTCTGATATAACTATTGATTGTACACACACACACACACACACACACAAATGCAGCCAAGGCAGGTTAATGGCAGACTAGCTTGAACCAGTTGTGTAATGAGTGAACAAGTCAAAACCTTGTTGGTTCTTGTTAGAACAGAACATTGTCCAGGTTCTGCATCTGTCCAGTCTCTACGTGATATCTGACAACCCCTTTTACATGAATCATTGGTAAGTCTTTTGCTCAACCCTAATGTAAGGGCTCTCTTTAACAGCAGAAAATGTCTTATTACAATGGAATACCTGGTTTAATATAATGTATTTCTACTGTATACACACTGCAGTTTTTGGCATTTCTGTGCTGATTTATTTATTCTACCTGACTTTAAACACAGGAACACCATTATGTACCTGTAGGACAGGAATAGACATTTATTTACGCATAGCCCTTGTAACATAGAAGACGTCAAATATTCCCTTGTTTTTTTGTAATAATGCTTTACAGTCCAGTTTGGAGCAAAAAAGAGTAACCCCTTTAATACTTTTATACACATTGCATTTTAATTAGGTCAAAACAGAGAAAAAATATTTTAAAGGATTTTCCAAAGGTCCAGTGTGTAGGAATTAGTGGCATCTATGCAGATTGCAACAAACTCAACTCAATCTCTAATAAGAAAATGTTTAAACTCAACAGTGTGTGGACCTGCAGGAACCAGCCTCACCCTGCTCAGTCAAGTCCAGTCACAGTTGGCTTACACATGATGCCCTGCTGGGTGCCAATCTCTGCTTCTGTATGACTCAGCAGGATGTTCATTATTATAGTGTATTGATATTACTAATCTTACCAATAGGCTACTACTTATCAGTATTAATAGATGTCGTGCTTTTACCAGCCCAGCTTGAACACAAGTCTCATGTCGCCACATGCTGGAGAGAAAAACAGGGTCTACAAATGTTATATTTTCTGGAAAGGAAGGTTTCAGGGAACCAGTAGGTCTCTGTATATAATCATATAACTTGTGAGTAAATAATCTTAACTCAAGGTCAGTTTACTAGATTTTTTGGTTTAATTAAGTTGTTGAATAGGTGGACCTTGAGGTGAGATTTCCATTTAGAGTGCAGTATTCAGTGTCAGAAACCATTACCTCCTCTCAATAAAATTACTACTACTACAACAAATTAACACTTGATGTATTGGAAGGACAATAAAATAATAAGGACATATATGATTATAAACAAAACCTGCAGCAGTGGTGCTGTATCAGCAGCAGCTCATTATTGGCTGAGCAGTGACCCCATGAGGTGAGGTTTACACATTACCATTATTACAGGTCTATTTTAGATCAATAATAATATTACAGTTAAATAGTGTCATGGTGACCAAAAATCTAATATAATTGAATGCACTTACAGTGATACATTACAGTGCACATATTTGTTTTTAATTTTCTGTTTTACTTCCCTGCTATCGCTACCCATTATATGAACAGTAGTATTTGTTGCAAGTAAGGAAGGCCGACTCCATGGCGGGCAGGATAGTCTGCAGGCAGTGGCAGGGAGGAGGATGGGGGACAGGATCAGTGCCACCCCCTCTCACCCACTCCATGATGATCTCTGGCCAACAGGCGGCTCATGTCCCAGAGATGACTGACTATTATTTTGAACCCTGTCTACTAGAAATTCAACATAATACTTGTCTGGAATTGGTTCAGAGGCAACATTTTATGAAACACTACATTACTGTACGGTCCTGGAGTCATTTCCTAATAATGTTCAAAGCAAACATATTTCCTTCAGCACTACGTTTAAGGCTTTTGAGAGTGTCAGATAATTTTTTGCCAGCAACTTTCAGTTCAGGCCTGTGTGTGAACTGCTTAGAAAGTGAAACCACTGAACGGACAAATGCATTAAAGCAAATAAGAAAAACTGTAAATTCACTCTTTGTTACAGTTTTTCAAAATGCTTTACACTGTCAGCACAACGCTAGTCAGTGTGGATCATATTTCATTGCTTTCACACACAATGCATCAACTGTGTGAACAGGTTTGAAAAAAATGAACTCAGAGTATGCAGCAAATGTTGTGTTTGTTTGTGTCCACTAGAGGGTATTGTAGGAAAGGAATATTAGTCCTACTCGATGAGCAAATGAATGTTTTCAAATGTCAAATGAAAACCATCATTCTTAATACCCTTATTTAGTTTTGATGTTTACACACAGACTTGAAATGTACAGCTCAAATATCTAGATCCAGTGACACGAGCTAGTCTTTGTGAATGACTTGTACTACTATATACTATATAAATCTATAAATATGGTCCTGATGTATATTCTTGTATGCAAAACATTTGAGACAACTGCCACAACCTTAGACTCAAATATTATGAACATATGATCTGATATTGGTGTATTTCAAGGGAAAGTTTAAGATGAAATACTAGATTACTACCAGATTGACAGACGCCAATGAGGTGCTGATAACATTCTGTGTTGTTTTTATATAGAAATGTATTGTTTTGTTGTTTGTTTTTAGTGTACTTTCATTTTTATATTTTCTATCAGAGTTTATTCAGTCAACTGTTGATATCTGAGTCAAAGTCTACAGCTACATGCACAATTTTTTTTAATTTTAAGTCAAGTGTTTACATGAGATGTGATCTAATATGGTCTGGATGCACCTATGTGAGATGGCTTAAAAGTGATGAATATGTCCACGCTTTCATAAAGTTGATAGGGATGATCAGCACTTCGGTCTATCCCGGTTTGATCCATTTTTATCTTGAACTTGTTTGTTTGTTGTAATGTTCAATTATTTAAGAGTTTGTCTTAAAACTCTCTGCAGAGGCCGAGTTCAGCCTGGAAGCTGCCATTTTCTGGAAGAAGACGTCCACGCTCGTTTGCTTCAAAATGGAGGGCATGTGCAGAAAGAATGCAGTCATAAAGTAATCCGATTAAATCGTTTACATGGTACAATTTAGACCGATTTAAACTACCCCTCTGCAAATTATTGAAATTTCAATCAGTTTTTAAAACAAATCTGCATTTTTGTATTCTGTTAAGGATTACACTCAGAATATTA